ATATTAGTTGGCATCATCAAAATTTTGGTTGAGACAATAAAATTCTTTTATTTTTTCAATTTGATCGCATCAACCAAATTTTTCTGCCAACAAAATATCTTTTCTTCCTATTTTTTTTTGCCTTAACTAAATTTTTATGCCAACAAAATTCTTTTTCTTCGTATTTTGTTGTCTCAACTAAATTTTTATGCCAACAAAATTTCTCATCTTCCTATTTTGTTGCCTCAACTAAATTTTTATGTCAACAAAATTCCTTTTCTTCCTCTTTTGTTACCTCAACTAAATTTTTATGTCAACAAAATTCCTTTCCTTCCTATTTTTTTTTGCCTTAACTAAATTTTTATGCCAACAAAATTTCTTTTTTTTCCCTATTTATTTGTCCTAATTAGTAGGCATAACCAAAATTTTTGGTCAAGCACAGCAAAATTCTTTTATTTTTCCTATTTGGTTGTGTCAAGAAAATTAAAAAAAAAAAAAAACCTGAATCATTTCACGAATTCAAATAAAGATTTTGATAGTCCTTCGACATCTGTTTCTGAAAAGGGCTTTAACAACCCTACAGTATAGGTGTTTTCTTATATATACATATATATAGTATGTGTAAAAGGTCGATGGAATTTCTATCCTGTTGTAAGGTGTGTGGTACGATGCCTCAGGCAAGGAGAGACATCGTGTTTAGAGCGAGATCTGTTTCCTCGATAAGCCACTGTACAATGCTTTGAATACCCATCCAGCATTTCGATAGGATCTTAACGCCCTCTAAGAGTAAACGAAATTAAATTCGCCTTGCTGTCGAGAAAGCAGATTCTATATATATCTTCATGTACTTTAGACAAACTCTAGAAATTCAATTTTCTCAAATCTCCTATACACATCATTTTCTCTCGTCATAACTTTAGCTAACAAATTCATTAAATTATACATATCACTATATATATGAAAACAGCAAATTCGCAATATTTACCTGTTTTTGCAAAATAATTAATTGCACTGGAAAAAAATTTATTTTATTCAAATACTCGTTTATATTTGACTATTATCAAATAAATATTTACTTGAACCAAATACACGTGTAGAAATTGCCCTATCGGGGCCCTGGTAGGGAATGAAACGCTGATCAGGGTCAAATTAGGGCGACTATAGAAAAATCTGATTAGAGTTACATCAGGGGTTACATTAATTAGAGCCACATCAGGCGCGGTGTTTCATTCCCTAATAGGGCAGCCTTATCTAGCCCCGATTTGAGCCCTGTCAAAATTTCCGCACGGGTAATTTTTATTTAAATTAATTAAATTGTCTTTGAACTAATAATTTCTTTATTTGAAATAAATACCATTTAATTGATTAAAATAATTATTTTTTGCTAATAGTCAAGTACCTGTGCATAAATTTTGCCATGGCCCAGATCGGGGCCGGATCAGACTGCCCTATTAGGAAAATAAAATGTCGTGCCTGATTTAGCCCTGATTAGCAAATCTAAATGTTCTGGCCGCCCTGATTTGACCCCGATTAGCGTTTCATTTCCCACTAGGGCCCTGGTAGGTCAATTTCTACACAGGATATAAATTTTCTTGAGGTATTGTTAAGCAATATTACAATAACTGAATTACCCGTGCAAAAAATCGGCAACCTGGCTCTTACCTGGTTGAAACAGGGAACCAGGGCCAAAGCAGGCTCTGGTCGGGCCCCGGTTATAATCGATTTTAATTGAAATAGGGTTTTTTTTTGTGGCCCCGCCCACTTGTAAAGATTCCCCCGGAAAGTGCCCCCTGGAGGTTCTATCAGAATTCCGCCGGAACGTAATTCCGTCGTAATTCCATCGGAGTTCCAAAGAATTTCCGATTGAATTCTAACGGAGTTCGGACGGAATTCTTACGGAATTCTGATTAATTTTTTTCAAAATTTTTACAGTCCTATTCCGTCGGAATTCCATCGGAACTCCGTCGGAATCCCATAGGAAATTCTTTGGAACTTCGATGAAATTCCGACGGAATTACGTTGAAAGTTCCGGCGGAATTCTGGACAAAATTAGTTATCTTATCTAAAAAAAAAAGTTTTTTTTTTGAATTTTGCAGAATAAAATAACATAATTTTCTGACTTTTTTTAAAATTAATTATTCAATTTTACTTAATCTCGGTAATTTACTACGTGATTTTTTATAATTTTTTTTGCAACCAAATTTTTTTACATCAAATACATTTTTTTCCAGAAATAAATTATTTTGAATTCAACAAATTTTCTCTCCCACTTGGAAAGATTCCCCAGAAAGTACCCACTGTAGGTTCTATCAGAATTCCGCCGGAATTTCAAACGTAATTCCGTCGGAAATCCATCGGAGTTCCAAAGAATTTCCGATGGGATTCCAACGGAGTTCTGACGGAATTCCGATTAATTTTTTTCAAAATTTTTAGAGTCCTAATTCCGTCGGAATTCCATCGGAACTTCGTCGGAATCCCATAGGAAATTCTTTGGAACTCCGATGGAATTCCGACGGAATTACGTTGGAAGTTCCGGCGGAATTCTGATAGAACCTCCAGGGGGCACTTTCCGGGGAATCTTTCCAAGTGGGCGATCGGGTTCACTATTTCATGCGAATTTGGAGCTTCCTGATCTGGGCCCTGCCAGGGCCCTTTCAAAATTTCTACCTGGGTATTTCTCAATTATTTAATTTTTTTGCATTGACATATAAATTTTCTATATATATTATACAAAAAAAAAATTCAGATTTCCGGGCATGGAAGATATTATATATATATATATATATATATATATATATATATATATATATATATATATGTATGCACTCTTTGCCAACTTATGCGACGCTTATACTATATCGGAGATATCGCGAATATTGGAAGGTCGTGAGCGGTTCGAAAAAAGAAAAGTGACGTAGTCAAAAAAAAAAAAGAAAAAAAAACGAGGAGTTGGAAAGGGTAAAAGCGAGAAAAGCGACTCTGAACCCGAGGAGCGACGAGAAAGATAGAAGGATTCGCATAAGGTACAACTTCGTCGTCGTGTGTGTGTGTGTGTAGCCAAAAAGCCGGAGGCTCAATTTTCATGAATTATGTAGAATATCGTGGGGGGGATATTGAATTCGGTGAAATTTTTCGGGCGTACTTTTACGGGAGGGAATGTAGAGGCAAAAAAAAAAAAAAAAAAGGATGAAGTAGATATGTGAATCGAGAAGGATCTAGAAAGTGGAAGAGACGCGCAGGAAACAATCAGGAATGGGCCAGAGAGTGAGTCGCAACAGAGAAAGAGAAAAAAAGGAGAGAGAGAGAGAGAGAAAGAGAGAAGGATAGAAAAAGACGAGAGAGAGGGAGAAAAAAGAAAAGAGAGAGAGGGTGGTTTGGTTGATTCGTTGGTTTTGGTTGGTAGGCCTGGTGTGTGTCCCATGGGACGCCATTGTCATCCCCCTACGGAGTGCGTTCCGGGATTCCATGGAAAAATCAAACGCATACTTTCTCCCAAAGCAAAAAATATAGCTTCACCGTAACTGTATTTCTTCGCGTAACACGTTTGTTGCGTTACACTCGTGTCGTATATTTATTAAATTGTTCCTATCTTCTTTTTTTTTTGGAAAAAAAAAATTGCAATAAGTGAATAAAACAAAATTGTTTCAAACATGAAAATCTAAAAAGTATTTCGTCAAATTTAAAACAAATACTACTAAATTTTTAAATTTGTTTTATTAAATTCAGAGAAAAAAATTGTTTGACTAAAAACGACTTTTACTACTGAAAAACAAAAAAAAAATCTTCAAAGGTTTTGTCTAACTAAAATTAGCTTTTACTACTGATTTTACAAAACGAAGAATTTAGAACATTCTGCCTGACTAAATACGATTTTTACTACTGAAATGCAATTTACAACAATTGGTCTGACTAAAATCGATATTTACTACTGAAACTTTTACATTATTCAATTGTTTTATTCAACTGAATTTAATATTAACTAGTGATACAAAAATTTACATAAATAACAATAATTTTTTGTCTGACTAGAATTGACATTTACTACTAATTTTACAAGAAATAAAAATGTTTTTGTCTGACAGAAACGGGATTTTACTACTTTTCTTTGATTTACAAGAATTTAGAAAAGCTTTGTCTGACTTTTACTACTGACAGTAAATTTACAAGAATTTATAGAGTCAAGTCTGATTGAAAATTTCTTTTCTGTACCTAGTTAGAAAAAATTTCGAACTTACTGTCTGACTGAAACATTACCCTTCTACTGTGAGGCTAAAATTTATAAGAATAATCAGTTACTTGACTATTATCAAATAAATATTTATTTGTATTAAGTAAATATTTATTTCACAGTGGAAAAATGCAAATAGTAACCATTGGGTCATTATAGGATTAATGTTGGTCCAATATTGGGCCAATGCTGCCAATATTGTGCCATTCTTTTGTCCATGTTGAAGGATTTTCGGAAAATTCCCAAAATTTTTTTGGCAAATTTTCAAAAAATACTTTTTTGAAAAAAAAATATAAATAATTTATATAGACTAAAATGTAGGCTATAGGGTTAAAATTTAAAATACAAGTGAACCTTATTGTGAGAAATAATTCAAATATACAGAGAGAGAGAGAGAGAGAGAGAGAGAGAGAGAGAGAGAGAGAGAAAGTTTCTATTGACATTTAAGAAGCTGCGTACCTGTGGCGTACTATTTTCTATGTTACGGCCCCATTTGGTTATAAAGGTCGAGGAAACATACACACACACACACACATACACGTGAGTCAGGTTCGCAGGAGGGGGGAGGGTTTAATCTAGAGAAATGCTGAATAATAGAAGCAAGTGAAGCAGGGTCACGATTGGCTTATGCAGTATTCAGACACGCTTTCCGGCCGAGTTGGCGTTCTAATTAAGTTTCCCAACGTTGAAGAGCGTTAAGTACCATGTCAACCGTTTAAGCCACCAAGTATATATATATATATAACCCGATCTCACTCATTCATTCACCATCTCTTTCTCACTTTGCTTTCAGATTCTTCCTCAAGTTCTTCCTCAAGTGCAACCAAAACTGTCTTAAGAACGCTGGAAATCCAAGGGACATGAGACGTTTTCAGGTGAGAGCGTGGAAAATTTAATTTGAATTAATTTCACATCCTTTCTGGGCTTTTTCAAAGAAAAACCAACTGGAGATACTTGACAAATTTTAAAATAATCCAAGAGAATCAGAATCTTTTTAACAAAATTCATCAGCGACAGTTTGACTTTAACTTCTTCTTCAAAGAATAAGAAACAATTTAATTTAATTTAATTTAATTTAATTTTTTTTAATATATTAACGAGTAAAATTTTACATTGAAGAAAAAGTTCATTTTTACGATAAGGAAATGTGTCAGAAGTCAAAAGAGAGAGAGAGAATGAGCTCTCTATTAAGAATCTTGTATATAATCGCCAGAGAGAGAGAGAGAAAGAGAGTCTGGCAATTAGCTCAGCATCCCATTTGCAAAAAAAAAATCCCATTTATAAAGACGCGACTTCCCTTTTTTTTTCTTCTTTATCCTCTCGCGTGAGAGAGACTACATCCAAAAAAATGTTTCTTTGAATCAAAGAAATATTTCTTTAATATAGGATCGGAAATTTTTTTTTTAATTTAGCCCACTTGGAAAGATTCCCCGGAAATTGCCCCCTGGAGGTTCTTTCAGAATTCCGCCGGAACTTCCAACGTAATTCCGTCGGAATTCCATCGAAGTTCCAAAGAATTTCCGATGAGATTCCGACGGAATTAGGACTCTAAAAATTTTGGAAAAAATTAATCGGAATTCCGTCAGAACTCCGTCGGAATCCCATCGGAAATTCTTTGAAACTCCGATGGAATTTCGACGGAATTACGTTGGAAGTTCCGGCGGAATTCTGATAGAACCTCCACGGGTCACTTTCCAGGGAATCTTTCCAAGTGGGAGAGAAAATTTGTTGAATTCAAAATAATTTATTTCTGAAAAAAAATGTATTTGATGTAAAAAAAATTTGGTTGCAAAAAAAAATTATAAAAAATCACGTAGTAAATTACCGAGATTAAGTAAAATTGAATAATTAATTTTAAAAATGTCAGAAAATTATGTAATTTTATTTAAATTTTGCAAAATACAAAAAAAAACTTTTTTTTTTAGATAAGATAACTAATTTTGTCCAGAAAACATTTGTTGCAGACATTTCATTATTTTCCATGAGCAAAAAACAAAAGACAGAATTAAAGAATAGAAAATAAAAAAAAAAATCTCACAATATTACCTCTCCCCCCCCCACCAACTTTTCTTTATATATATATGTATATATCTTGACCCCTTTGTACTTTCGTTTGGTGTAGTTGGCGGTTCAACGCGTACTATAGCCAAGAAGCCCAACCAAAATTAAAACATTTACTACACTTAGAAATTTCTTTGGGAATTGCTTATCGCTGAAAGTTGAAAATTAAAATGCTAAGCTCTCGAGAAAATTTCCTTTCCTTATGGAATATATATGTATATTCTCTCCAGATAACCTCTTGACAAATTTTGTAATAACTTTTTTCTTTCCCTTTATTTTTAATAATTAAAAAATAAAAAAAAAAATTTTTTTTTACATTCTAATTTTATAAATAAATTTTTTTTTTTCAATTTACAGGTTGTAATATCGACGCAAGTTGGTGTGGAAGGTCCTTTATTGGCTGTTTCGGACAATATGTTTGTGCATAATAACAGCAAACATGGACGTAGAGCAAAGAGGTTGGACCCAAGTGATCCTGGCGAATATAATAGTGAGTGTAAGAAAAAAAGAAAAAAGAAATTTTTATTTTTTGCAAAATTTTTTTTTGAAAAAAAATATATATATATATACCATCCGCTTAAACTTGTTTACCGCAAATTTGCAAATTTTTTAAAACAATTATAATATAAATATAAACATAAAGCCTATGTTCGCAGAAACAATCTACTACTTAGCTGATGGAACGATTCTCAACAAAGGTGATTATTATCAGTACAAGATATAAATGAATATTTAATTTCAATAACTTGGTAATCAAGTTTAAGCGGCTAATTATTTTTTACATTGAAAAAAAATATATTCTCATTGGTAGATGATAAATAATAAATAAAATAATAAAACAATAATTAGTAGAAAATAATTTCTTTATTAAAATTGAAATAAAATAATTCCGTTTATTATGAGATTTTATTTTTTTCGGTGTATTTCACTTAATCTAATTTTTTTTTGCAGTATATATATATTTTTTTTTGGGGGGAGGGGGAAAAATTTCGAAAATTTAATTTTTTTTATAAAAAGAAAATAACTTACACTAGCAATAAGAAGATTGCTGGGGAATTTTGAATAATGTAAGAATAACAGTAAAGTTTTTTTTTATATGTCGGGGAATAACATGCGAGAGAAATTTTGGGAAGATCGGTTAACAACATATATATATATATATATATATATATATATATATATATATATATATATATATATATATATAGGCTGGATGGAGAAATTCTGAAATGGTGGGCACGTGCGGAAAGTGAGAGGAAAGGAGTGTCTCGGGGAGAGGAGTCATAGGGCAATTCAGCAAAGTTTGGCCTCGGCCGCGCATACAAACGGCTGATATCATCCCCCTTGCAACCTACACTAGTATAACCCCGTTGGCGTTCCACCATTCGTTTGTTCGTTTCTTGGGTTCCTACCACTATTCGAAAGACAAGATGTAAATCAATGGGAGAAGGAGAAGAACGCGAAAGGATATTCCATTTTCTTTCTCTCTCTCTCTCTTTCTCTCTCCCTTTTATACTCTCAGGCTTTCTTTTCACCCTCTTGATTTTCTTTATCGTCTTCTTCTTTCCCACTATGCTCTTTATCTCCATCTCTCACTCTTATTCTCTCTCTCTCTCTCTCCCCTTCATTTCCACTCTTCTATACCTTTTGTCTGGTTGGATGCCACGAATCGCAAAGACAGGGGCTTGAAATTACTTCTTTCTTCTATTTTATTTCTTCTTTATTTTTCTTCCTTCTTATTTCTTCTTTCTTTATTCTTTATTCTTTATTCTTTATTCTTTATTCTTTATTCTTTATTCTTTATTCTTTATTCTTTATTCTTTATTCTTTATTCTTTATTCTTTATTCTTTATTCTTTATTCTTTATTCTTTATTCTTTATTCTTTATTCTTTATTCTTTATTCTTTATTCTTTATTCTTTATTCTTTATTCTTTATTCTTTATTCTTTATTCTTTATTCTTTATTCTTTATTCTTTATTCTTTATTCTTTATTCTTTATTCTTTATTCTTTATTCTTTATTCTTTATTCTTTATTCTTTATTCTTTATTCTTTATTCTTTATTCTTTATTCTTTATTCTTTATTCTTTATTCTTTATTCTTTATTCTTTATTCTTTATTCTTTATTCTTTATTCTTTATTCTTTATTCTTTATTCTTTATTCTTTATTCTTTATTCTTTATTCTTTATTCTTTATTCTTTATTCTTTATTCTTTATTCTTTATTCTTTATTCTTTATTTTACACACCTCTTGTCTTCGTTCTCTATCGCCCATTTCTAATTTTCAAAGATTAGTAAGGAGAGAAATAAGGAACTAACAACAACAATTTTTTGTCTGACTGTGACTGACTTTTACTACTGGTACGTTTAGGAGAATTAATTTTTTTTAGAAAGTTATTTATTATACTTACAAAAAAGTAAAAAATGTTTTGTCTGACACTACTCGTATTCTACTACTAATATTAGATTGAGAATAAAATTTCGTCTGACTAAAAACGACTTTTACTACTGAAATAAAAATTATAAAAATATGTTTGGCTGACTAAAAACCACTTTTACTACTGAAATTAAAATTATAAAAATCTTTTTCTCTGACTTAAATATATCTTTACTGTTTAGGCAATAAGAATTTTTAATATTCTGTCTGACTAAATGTGGTTTTTACTACTGATATTAAAGTTAAAACAATTTTAAGCATTTTGTCTGACCAAAATCGACTTTTACTCCTATTTACTACTGTTCATATAATGAGAAGAATTTTCAATATCCTGTCTGACTAAAACTGATTTTTACTACTGATATTGAATTAACAACAATTGTAAGCATTTCGTCTGACTAAAATCAACTTTTACTACTAATTATACATTTTTATAAAAAAAATAGAAACATTTTGTCCGACTAGAAATTATTTTTACTACTAATATTAAATTTACATCAATTTGTAGCTATTTGTCAAACCAGAAACTACTTTCACTACTGAAAATTTTTTTTAAAGCTTTTGTCTGACTAAAATTGTCTTTTACTACTGATTATACAATAGAAAAAAATTAAAATATACAGTCTGACAAAAAATGATTTTTACTACTAATATTAAAAAATACAACAAGTGAAAGCTTTTTGTCTGACTATAATCGATTTTTACTACTGATTATACAATAGAAAAAAATTAAAATATACAATCCGACTAAAAATTATTTTTACTAGGTACTAATATTAAAAATTACAACAAGTGAAAGCTTTTTGTCTGACTAAAATCGATTTTTACTACTAATTGGTATTTGATATGCAAGAATTCAAAGAAATTTTGTCTGACTAAAAACGACTTTTACTACTGAAGACAAAATTAAAGAAATTGTTTTGTCTGACTAAACACTTTTTTTACTACTGAATTCAAAATTTAAAAAATCGTTTTGCCTGACTAAACACTTTTTTACTACTGATTTAATAAAACGAAGAATTTAGAACCTTCTGTCTGACTAAATATGATTTTTACTACTGACATTCAATTAACAACAATTTTAATAACTATTTGTCTGACTAAAATCGACTTTTACTACTAAAACTTTTACTTTATTAAAGTGTTTTTTCCCAACTAAATTTAAAATTAACTACTAAAACAATTACTAAATGAGAAAAAATTGCTCGATTTAAAAAAAAAAGAAGAGAGGGAGAGAAAAAGATAGAGACAATAGAGTAGATTCGTAATGTATAGAGTGTTTCATATATATAAAACGCTCGCACAAGGGATGAGAAAAAGGGAGGAGGGGTGGTGGGGGGGGGGTGAGCGACAAACGACTCTCGCGGCAGTTTGTTAAGAACGACGAGATTTATTATTCGCAGTCAACGCTCACGAAAAGTGTTTGAGAGTCACTGCTTGGCAATATACCACACGATGTCAGCCACTGTGCCGCCAACGTTCGCTGGTGGCTCGATTCATGCCGAGGAAGGCTGAAAACGTGTTACGGGGGAGGCTTGACTTTCCCGAGGTACAAAATGATATCATTGGGTTATAAATTCGAAGCAAAGAGAGAAAATCGTTCGTCCTTTTCCCTCTTGTTGCACAACCCTTCTCTTCTGTGACTCTCATTCTCGATCTCCCCCTTTCTCTCGATCTTCCATTTCTCTCTCTCTCTCTCTCTCATTTTGTCTCTCTATATATCCTATTTTTGTTTCTCTATCTTTCACATCGTTTCCTTTTCTTATTCTCTTCCAACTACAGGCGTGTATTTTCTTCCCCTTCCCCCTCATCCCACTTTCATGTGAAATCTCCTTGTACTGTATAACGCGAGGAAATATATATATATATATATTCGGCCTCCAACGAATAAACAGAATATTCAGATAATTTTCCATATCCCAACCCCCTGGACCAACTGGATCCCCCACGCGCGGTTGCACACGATTTTGTTTTACCTTTCATTCTCCTCTTATACACGAGTGGTTTTTTTTTTTTACCTCTCACTATAGTCACTTACGGGGCAAACGTCCCTGATGAACAAACAGATCGCAATTTATATGGAGGAGGGGGGTGGTTTTTCTTTTTTTTTTTTTCTTTTTATCTCTGTTCGACTAATGAGCATTTCAATTTGGTTTTGCTACAATTTTCTTTTTTTTAAACCGATTTCTTCATTAATTATATCAGTAATTAATATAATTGGTGTTCTTAAAAAATATTTCTCTCTTTTTTTTAATTTATATATTATTACAGGGAAAAAATCTTTATCTGAAACAGCGATATTGTTCTCTAGAATAGTGAAAACTTTTGCTGTTTCAGGTGAAGATTTTTTTTTCCGTGTACTATTAGTTATAAAATTACAATTAGTAATCAAATTATTATTATAGTATACTAGTAATAATAAAATTACTAATAATTAAAATTACTATTAGTATTAAAAATTACTAATAATTGAAATTACTATTAGTATTAAAAATTACTAATAATTGAAATTACTATTAGTATTAAAAATTACTAATAATTAAAATTCCTATTAGTAATTACTATTACTATTGGTAATAAAATTACTTTTACTAATTAAAATTACTATCAGTAATTACTATTACTGTTGGTAATAAAATTACTTTTACTAATTAAAATTACTATTAGTAATTGCTATTACTATTGGTAATCAAATTACTTTTACTAATTAAAATTACTATTAGTAATGAAATTACTATCAGTATTTTAAAAATACTACAAGTATTAAAAATTACTAGTAGTAGAAAACAATACTATTAATTTTAAAAGTTACTATCAGTAATGAAATTACCTACAATTACTAATAAAAAATAGTATAGGTGATAAAATTACTTTTACTAATTACAATTACTATTAGTAATACAAAATACTATTAGTATTAAAAATTACTAATAAAAAAATTACTATTACTAATAAAAATTACTATTAGTAGTAAACAATATTATTTTTAAAAATTACTATCAGTAATGAAATTACTTTTACTAATAAAAATTACTTTTGATAATAAAATTACTATTCTTAATAAAAAATACTATTAGTAGTAAAAATTACCAATCAAAAAAAGTACTATTACTAATAAAAATTACTATCAGTAATAAAATCACTATTAGTAGAAAACAATACTATTAATTTTAAAAGTTACTATCAGAAATGAAATTACCTACAATTACTAATAAAAAATACTATAGGTGATAAAATTACTTTTACTAATTACAATTACTATTAGTAATACAAAATACTATTAGTATTAAAAATTACTAATAAAAAAATTACTATTACTAATAAAAATTACTATTAGTAGTAAACAATATTATTTTTAAAAATTACTATCAGTAATGAAATTACTATTACTAATAAAAATTACTTTTGATAATAAAATTACTATTCTTAATAAAAAATAATATTAGTAGTAAAAATTACCAATAATAAAAAGTACTATTACTAATAAAAATTACTATCAGTAATAAAATTACTATTAGTAGAAAACAATACTATTAATTTTAAAAGTTACTATCAGTAATGAAATTACCTACAATTACTAATAAAAAATACTATAGGTGATAAAATTACTTTTACTAATTACAATTACTATTAGTAATACAAAATACTATTAGTATTAAAAATTACTAATAAAAAAATACTATTACTAATAAAAATTACTATCAGTAATAAAATTACTATTAGTAGAAAACAATACTATTAATTTTAAAAGTTACTATCAGAAATGAAATTACCTACAATTACTAATAAAAAATACTATAGGTGATAAAATTACTTTTATTAATTACAATTACTATTAGTAATACATAATACTATCAGTATTAAAAATTACTAATGAAAAAATTACTATTACTAATAAAAATTACTATTAGTAGTAAACAATATTATTTTTAAAAATTACTAACAGTAATGAAATTACTATTACTAATAAAAGTTACTATTACTAATAAAAATTACTATTACTAATAAAATTACTATTCTTAATAAAAAATACTATTAGTTGTAAAAATTACCAATAATAAAAAGTACTATTACTAATAAAAATTACTATCAGTAATAAAATTACTACTAATATAAATTACTATTGCCAATAAAATTACATTAACAAAAATATTAAATATTATAAAATGTCAAATTTTCCAAAATTACTATAAAAATAAACTAAAAAAAATTTCTTTTCTGTTTTTTTTTTACAGGCATCTATCCACCAATTCCAGTTGCGACTCCCTGCATAAAAGCGATATCACCTAGCGAGGGGTGGACGCAGGGGGGTTCAACAGTGATAATAATCGGTGACAATTTCTTCGATGGGTTACAAGTCGTATTCGGCACAATGCTCGTATGGAGTGAGGTTCGTTATAACTTTAATTGCATGAAATTTCTACAGAAAATAATTTCACTTTTCTCATATATCTTTATGCTTTTTCAACGTTATACAGATATTGTTTCTTACTTTTGTTTTTTTTTATTCACAGTTAATAACGGCCCATGCAATAAGAGTGCAAACACCACCACGACAAATACCCGGAGTTGTTGAAGTGACATTATCCTATAAAAGTAAACAATTCTGTAAAGGTTCTCCAGGAAGATTTGTTTATGTCTGTAAGTAAATATTATTCATTTTTTTTTCTATAATTATTTTTTTTCCAAATAAAAATAATAAAACGATATAAAAGTGATAAAAATTATATAATAATAATATTATTTAGTAATTATAATAATAATAATAAAACAAAAAAAAATTATTTTTACATTTTATGATTTACTTCTTTTTTTTCTGCAAAGAAATCAAAAATTTTTTTTACAGGAAATTTTTTTTTTTTTAATTACAATCGAAAGAATTTTTGTTTTTATTTTTTTTAGGTTTAGAAAAAAATGAGAATTTTTCGAAATTTTCAGCATTGAACGAACCAACGATTGACTATGGATTCCAGAGGTTACAAAAATTAATACCACGACATCCTGGCGATCCAGAAAAATTGCCAAAAGAAATTATTTTAAAAAGAGCTGCCGATCTTGCTGAGGCACTTTATAGTATGCCAAGGGGTAGTAATGCAAGTATCACAGGAGCGCCAAGAAGTCCTGTATCGAGTCATCCACCAGCGCCACCAACATCAAGTTCAGCGACAGCATTTAATTCATATACCGGTCAACTTGCTGTCACCGTCCAGGAAAATGGCAGCGCCGCCAAATGGACGGATGGTGAGTAAATTTGTTTAAAACAAAAAAAAAGAAAAGAAACAAATTTTTTAATTTAAATTTCACAATTTTTGAATATTAAATATTATTGCAGTGATTTAGCAAATTGTAACGAAATTTGTCTGACTGAAATATTTTTTTACTACTTGTGTTAAATTTACAAGAATTTAAAAATTTTTTGTACTACTAAAATTTAATTATTTTTTTATAGACAAGACTAACATTGACTACTAATTGTTTATTTACTAGAATTTAAATGCAGTGTCCGATCAAAATTGACTTTTACTACTAATTATACAATTTTTCAAAAATTTAGGTGTTATGTCTGACTAAAATCGACTTTTACTACTATTTTTGTATTTTATAGAAAATATTTAACAATCTGTCTGACTAAAGCTGATTTTTACTACTGATATTAAATTTAGAACAATTTAAGCTAACGGGCTGACTAAAATCGACATTTACTACTGAAATCCAAATGATAAGAATTTTTTTGTTTGACTAAAATATGTCTTTCCTACTGTTTATACAAGAATAAGAATTTTTAATATTACGTCTGACTAAAACTGATTTTTACTACTGATATTAAATTTACAATAATGTTAAGCATTTCGCCTGACTAAAATCGACTTTTATTACTAATAAGAATTTTTTTGTTTGACTAAAATATTTATTTACTACTGCTTATAAAATAATAGAAATTTTCAATATTATGTCTGACTAAAACTGACCTTTACTACTGACATTCAATTTACAAAAAATTTATTCCATTAGTCTGACTTAAATCGACTTTTACTACTGAAAGAAAAAATAATAAAAATCTATAAGGTTTTGTCTAACTAAAATCGACATTTACTACTAAAAATCCAAATAATAAATTTTTTTTGTCTGACTAAAATATGTCTTTACTACTGTTTATACAATGATAAAGAGTTTTTTAATATTATGCCTGATTAAAATTGACTTTTACTACTGATATTAAATTTACAACAATTTGAAACATTTCGTCTTACTAATATCGACTTTTACTACTGATATTAAAAATAATAAAAACCTGACTAAAATATTTATTTCTACTTTTTATACAATAATAAAAATTTTCAATATTCTGTCTGACTAACACTGATTTTTACTACTGATACTACAATTTTCAGCATTTGGGCTGACTAAATTTGACTTTTTCTACTGATACTGAATTTAAACAAAAATAATGACAAAATTTTGTCTGACTAAAACTGACTTTTACTACTGAAACTAAACCAACAAAGAATTAAAAACGCTTTTGTCATACAAAATTCTCTATATCAATTTCCGAAATAGTAAAATAGTAAAAAAAATAGTAAAAAAATAGTAAAAAAAATAGTAAAAAAAATAGTAAAAAAAATAGTAAAAAAATAGTATAAAAAATAGTAAAAAAAATAGTAAAATAATAAAAATAAAAAAGTAGTAAAATAAAATAAATAAAAAAATTAGGGATTAAATAGGAGGGATTAAATTTTGTTTGAGGCAAATTTAGTTATTGTTGAAGTTAAAAAATCGGATACTGACGATTTTGTTGTATGACGGGCAGGTTTCTATTTTTAGACGGTGGTTCAGTGACGTCAGGTGCCGGAGGCGGTGGAGGTGGCGGCGGTAACGGCGGCACTGTCGACGCCTATAGGCAAAGTAGTAGCGCGAGTCCACGGGGGGTTGTAACCAGTGGTGGTTATTGTGGAAGTTCCGCCAGTACGCCGCACAGTCACAGCACCAGCGGAAGCTACTCCGTCGCCAATCCCTACACCGGAAGTCCGACCCTCTACACTTCGCGTAAGTCTTACCACCATACCAAAAGCCTAATTAACAGCGAACATTTCTCTCTCTCTCTCACTCTCTCTCTCTTTCTCTTTCTATTATATGGCGCAAGCGCTTATCTTCTTAATGTTACAAGATACGATACAACGAGAAAGCAGTATATTAATTTTATATTCTGAAAAAACTTCAAATTGCCCAACAATTTTAAAATCGCACTTTTTTTTTTTTGAAAATTTGCTAATAAAAATTAACGGTGACAATTGATGAAGATATTTTTTTTTTGCAAATTGAGAAAATAATTTTTATTTTAAATAAATAAATTTCTATTTGCTAATAATTTAAATAATAATTTCTATTTTGATTGCAATGTAATAATATATAATAATCTTCAACACTAGTTTGAAAAAAAAAATTTATAGTTTTATTATACACTAAAACTCGAGTTATTGAGACACAATACCGAGGCGTCTCAATTACAAGAGTACAAGTGTATTTTGCGAAACAAAGAACTCTTTTAGAGTTTCTAATTCATTTTATTACTTATTTAAAATTTCTACCAATAAAATATTTTCAATAAAATTAATAATAATAATAATAATAATAATAATAAAAAAATAATTTGATATAATTAATAATAATTATAGGAATTTAAAATATATTGTCCTAATATATTGGTCCTATTATAATAATAAAAATAGTAATAAAGAATAAAAATAGCAAAGAATAGAAAAAAATTTTAAGAATAAAAATAAAAAAGAATATAAATAGCAAAGAATAAAAATATTAAAGAATAAAAATAACAAAGAGTAGAAATAGCAAAGAAAATAAATATCAAAGAATAAAAATAGCAAAGAATAAAAATATTAAAGAATAAAGAATAAAAATATTAAAGAATAAAGAATAAAAATAACAAAGAATAGAAATAGCAAAGAATATAAATAGCGAAGAATAGAACAAAATTTTAAGAATAAAAATAAAAAAGACTATAAATAGCAAAGAATAAAAATATTAAAGAATAAAAATAACAAAGAGTAGAAATAGCAAAGAAAATAAATATCAAAGAATAAAAATAGCAAAGAATAAAAATATTAAAGAATAAAGAATAAAAATAGTAAAGAATAAAAATATTAAAGAATAAAAATAACAAAAAATACAAATATCAAAGAATAAAAATAGCAGAGAATAGAAATATCAAAGAATATAAACATCAAAGAATAAAGAATAAAAATATTAATGAATAAAAATAGTAAAGAATAAAAATAGCAAAGAATAGAAATAGCAAAGAATAGAAATGTCAAAGAATAAAGAATAAAAATAGCAAAGAATATAAATAGCAAAGAATAGAAATATTAAAGAATAAAGAATAGAAATATTAAAGAATAAAGAGTAAAAATAGCAAAGAATTGAAATACTAAAAAGTAAAAAAGCAAAGAATAGAAATATCAAAGAATAAAGAATAAAAATAGCAAAGAATAGAAATATCAAAGAATAAAGAATAAAAATAGCAAAGAATATAAATATTAAAGAATAAATAATAAAAATAGCAAAGAATATAAATAGCAAAAAGTAAAAATAGCAAAGAATAGAAATATCAAAGAATAAAGAATAAAAATATTAAAGAATAAAAATAGTAAAGAATAAAAATAGCAAAGAATAGAAATAGCAAAGAATAGAAATATCCAAGAAAAGAAATATCAAAGAATAAAGAATAAAAATATTAAAGAATAAAAATATCAAAGAATAGAAATAGCAAAGAATAGAAATAGCAAAGAATAGAAATATCAAAGAATAGAAATATCAACGAATAAAGAATAAAAATGGAAAGAATAAAAATATCAAAGAATAAAGAATAAAAATAGCAAAGAATAGAAATATCAAAAAGTAAAAGAGCAAAGAATATAAATATCAAAGAATAAAGAATAAAAATAGTAAAGAATAAATATAGCAAAGAATAGAAATATCAAAGAATAGAAATATCAAAGAATAAAGAATAAAAATAGCAAAGAATAAAAATAGTAAAGAATAAAAATAATAATAAATAAAAATAATCAGAATATAAAATACAATAATTTTATTGTTTTTAGAAGACTGTTAAAATATTAAATTCTTTTTTTTTTATTATTTTTTTCTTATGTAAGAATTTTTTTTTTTTAATTGCATGCGCACGAGCCTGGCACGCATTTTTTTTTTGCTGCACACAATTTTCCTTTTTCTTTCTTTCTCTTTTTTTTATCACACTTTTGTTTGCATTCACACTTATGATTTTCCTTGTGGATTTTCATTTTAGCGCACGAACAATATGGCATTTTCTATACGTCCGGGGACGGAAGTGCGTTCGCCCCTGTAGTTCGACCACCGACCACCTCAGTCCCACCGCACTGGTCCACACAGCACCACCTCGCCACAGCCGCCCAGTAACCGCTAACCGTCCACCACCACCATCACCAACCCCATGCACTGTGATTAAAAAAAAAAAAAAAAAAACAAAAAACAAAAAAATTATGAGAATCCGGCTAAGAAAAAGAGTGTAGGTACTCCGCACATAAATTATTTTTTTCTTCCCATTTTTTCAATTTTTTATATAAAATAAATAATAATAATAAACATAAATTATTTAAACAAATTATAAATTTGCATGTTGCATGTTTTAATGAAAAAAAAATTTATCCCCCCTTTTTTATATTTATAATTTAGCCAAGATAGAATTTTTATATTTATAAGACAAATTTTACTCTTAAAATAATATAAATACTAAATTTCGTCGATAAATATTTTTTTTTTCAACAAAAATTTGTTATTTTACAATGAATTTCTCTAATTACTTCCATTTCATGCACGTGCTTGTTTATAATAATTTGTTTAAATTTTCTCCTCTGTACCTCCTTTTTGTTCTTTTTTTAAAAAAAATAAATTTGCGAAACATTTTAAAAGACAATTACTTTTTAAAGAACAATTTTTTTTCCTTCCAAGAAAGTGATAAAAAATTGTTTTCGGTAAAAAAAATTGTCTTTTAATGTTATTAATTTTTTTAATTTTTTTTTTTTTGATACTTTGTTTATTAAAATAATTTTCTTTTCAAAAATTGTAAAAATAAATAATGTTTCAGGATTGGGAGAAGTAGTTGGATCACCATTCAATATGAATCCATTTATGTTGCCTACCTGTAATCAAGGATATTCAACAACTGGTAGTCCACTTTTATCCTCGAATGGTAAATAGTGTTACGAGATGTAAGCTACGCCGAGAGTGAATATCTTATATTTATTGGCAAGTCAATAAGAAAATTGCGGCGGAGCTTTGATATTCTGGAAAAAAAAAATTTCAACTCACCTCATCTGCTGATTCAATTTTCCTGCAAAAAAATTTATTTTTTTTCTCAAAAAAAAAAACATCATAACATGAATTGTATCAATAGAAATAACAATCACTGAATTATAGGAAATTTTTAAAATAGTAATTAGAAATTATATAATGACGAGTTAAAAAAATTAAAAGACCAGTGCAAATTTCAATTTACAAAAAAAGAAAAAGAAATCGTCTAAATTAGTTGACACAGTCGAATTATATAATATTGTATACATATCTAATAATAATTTTTAATAAGAGGAAGCAGGATTTTCCTCGTGGAAAATTCATATTGGAATTTTTCACGCAAGAAAAAAAAAACTTACCTAATATAAAAATTAATTCTTCGCATCATTTATTGTAAAAAAAATAATTGATTTGTGATAGAATTAGAAGAAAAAAAGAAATGACAGTAAAATAACAGGTAAAATTAAAAAAATTTTCAAAAATCAATAATTTTTTTTTTGTTTCTTTTTTTAATTCATATTTTGTGATAAAAGAAATTATTTTGTTCAATGTCAATTTTTATGCCTTGTTTTCAATTGATTAAAAAAAAAAACAAATTAAAGGAAATTGATGATTCGTTAAAGGAATTGAGTTACTTAAAAATGATTCAACAATTATTTTTATTAAAAACACCATTTATAGCTGTGATGCAACGAATTGTTTCTATATTTAACAAAAATTCTTAATTTTGTAAATGAAAAAAAAAAATAAATATCGCCCTTGTATAAATGAAAATTTTCACATTAGATTTATATTATAATAATTTATTTAATTTTGCAATTAGTTATTTTAATAAAAAAAAATTCCATTTGACAATTAAAATTTTCAATTGAAATTTTCTATTTTGTAAAAATTTTCATTTCCGCATAAGTGCAAAATAAAAAACTGAAATTCAAGGCAAAAAAAAAAAAGTAGGAAAAAAAAATTTTTGTTAAAAATTTTATATATAAAAAACAATGTAAGGGGCATGTTATCGAAGAATTCTTTTCCTAGCTAAGGAGAAAATATAGCAAGTTTCGCCTCATCTGCCAGCAAAGAAGTAACAAAACAGTGAATATTTTATATCAGTCGGACGATGTTGTACAGTTCGGGAAGTTTAGAGATATAGTGAGAGAAAGAGAGCTTGCGAAATATAAAGAAAAGATGGAAGAAGAAAAAGAAAAGAAGAAAAATTCCAATAGACGGACATATCGCTTATCAATGAGTAACAGACTTAATAGTTTTTAGAAAGACAAAAGTGAATTTTGTCCACAAATCCATAAAAAATGAAAAAAAAATTTAAAAATTGTCTCACAAGCAGACTAACCCAATATCGTGATAGTTTATTATTATTATTATTATTATTATTATTAAACATATATAAACGTCAACTGCGAAAATAAAATAAATAATTTGTACATTAATTGTAAATATTGTTGCGATGTACAAAATACAAAAAAATTAAAAATATATATAATTAGCTATTTCCATGATACGCGTTTTTGAGGCGTAGTAACGCGTTTGTAGAATAAACGTTGTTATATATAAGTGTACATAATCTTTAGAGAGTCCGTAGTTTATTCCACATGGAAAAAGACATGGTTTAACTTTTGAAAATGTTTCCAAAATGTTTATGTGACTAAAATACAATATCTTTTTTAAAAAAAAAATTATTTATTTAATTTAATATCAATTAGATTTTAAGTTAATTGAAAAAAAAAGAAATAATTTCCCACGGATCATTGAAAAGTTAAACCCTGCATTTGTAATGTATAAACGTATATTAGTTTTGGATTGTTCGGAAAAAAGATCGATACAAAACAAATCTTAATATACATGACTCATATATATGAAAGTATACGAAAAGAACCAAAGTATCCGAAGACGAGTCCACAATTTCATAAAAAAAAAAAAAAACAAGAACTCAAGTACAATTTTTTGAAAAATAATTTTTATTTAACAATCATTTATATATATTGACGAGAGAATATAAATTATATTGTAACTTCGGTCCTAATAGAAGTTGTTTTTTGCATATCATAAATATTAATTATATAAGTGAAGAGAATACATATCTCACTGGAACACTTTTTCTAATTGAAATTTACTGTATTCTAAAAATTATAATATTGAAAAGAAAAGAATGTTTCTTCATTGCTTCGTTATTGTATACTTTTTTATTTAATCTATTTATTAAATAACATTCTACACATAATGTTACCGCTATTTCAATATACATTAAAGAAAAACAAAAAAAAAAAAAAAAAAAAACTCACTCAAATACACAAAACAAGAACATGTCTATGTATATTACTATAAATTGTACTACATTTTTGGGAATTAAACATTTTGGATTCACTGAAATAATTTTTATTATTCATTCCCTCTATCCTGAATAACAGTTTTATTTATATTTTCTTTATTTATATTTTAAATGCATTTTTTTGAAAGATATAAAAAATTACCGACATAGAAATCAACCTTACCGACTGATGGTAAAGATTTTTTTTTAGATTTTTATCAACTTTTTTAAAACTGTTTTACCATCAGTCGTTAAGGTAGATTTCTATGTCGGTAATTCTAGAATAGGTTTTCTAGGTTTAAATAAAACATTTCTCTGGGTATAGTAAATTATACATAGTGATATAATAAATTATAAAATATTTATAAATATAGTAAATTATAATATTTATAATAATTATATATATATTTATAAATTTATTTATAAATAAATTACAGATAAAATGATAATTATTTAGAATATAATAAAAGAATAATAATTAAAAAAAAAATTGTTTTAACAAAATTTAGCTATAAATTTTTTTAAGGGTAAAATTGTATGCACAATGACAAAAAAAAAAAAAGATGAAAGTGCTTTTTTCATAAAAGCAAATATGCTATTTGATACATATATACATTATATAACTAATTAATGTGAGACTATTTTTAGTGGATGTATATAAGAAAAAGCGCGAAAGTAATTTCATATACACAATGTTTTTGTATTTTGTAACGTTTGCGATTCGGCACGCGACCAATCCCGTTTTATGTGCACGTGCCTCTCAATCTAAATCTAATAACACAAACAGCCACCCCACAATAGCGTGCGTTTTCATGTAATGGGACACCATGTGAACTAATCGTTCCGAAGTGGTCCTCAAGAGAGAACATATCCTGTTTCGTCGCTATTTTGTTGACCCTGGTAACATGTTCTCTCCAATTTTTTTTTTTCTTTTTTTTTCACCGCGCACAATGAAACAAGCCTCTAATAAAAGTTTACTTTACTTGTCATTATAAGTAATTTTTTTTTTTTTTTTTGCTTCTCTTTTGTTTCAATTTTTAACCACTAATCTTAATTTTTACTACCAATAATTAGTTATTACAATGAAAGAAAAATTTATTTGATTCAAATAATTATTTATTTGATTCAAATAATTATTTATTTGATTCAAATAATCGATTACTTCACCCAGAGAAATGTTTTATTTGAACCAAATATAATACATTTGACTTAAATAAACGTATAATTGTCTCACAGCCTACTAGCCCATTTATATGGCGGAAATAAAATTTTTTATTTAATTCAAATAAAAATTATACGGTTCAAATAAATATTTATTTGAACTAAATAAATTTTATCTAAATTAAATAAATTGTATTTCAATCAATAATTTTTCTATTTGTTAAAAATTTAAATAATAAAAATAGATAGCAAAAAAAAAATAAATAGATACTATAATAAAAATTGAGGTTGTGAAGATGTCATTTGGTGTGGGCCCTCACGAATTCTATACACTGAACTTCAATTTGGAATTATGTGCAATGGGGGATGAAGATCAACGATGACTGGATATGAGCAATCTAGAAATGTTGCACCCCTTGACAGTTAATACTGATAAAATCATATACATTGATGTGCGTACTGGTAGCTCCCATTTGAATTTTGTTTGTGAGAAAGATAGAGCCCCCCCCCTCACTCCATATAAATATAAGGCTATTGTGTTTCATCGCACAAACTACCAAAAGAACATTAACATCTGCTGATTACCAATGATCTTTAATCTTTACTATATTTTTGTTATTCAATAGTATTATGTTTCATTGAACACATAAAAGAACAAAAAAAAATAAGAGCACATTCTGACATAATCTTACTAATTATATGCAAACATATTTTTATTACACCCCCCCCCCCAAAAAAACCAAACAGTCTTAACCAGAGAGTCTTGTATAAAAAATGTATGGGTCAAAATGAAAATTGTGATTTTTTGAAATCCTTAATTAATCGCTCTGAAAATAGTGCCAAAGTCTTAATCCGGAAATTGTCTACAAAAAATGTATAGCGCACTTTTTTATTGGTCCAGCGGATGCTGAGCTAAACTCAAAAACATTTTGGAAAAATTTTCGAAAAATTAAATTTACAAGTTAAACGATTCGGAATACCACCAAAGTCATTAGAAAAAAGTAGCGAACAAAAAATGTATGGCGCACTTTTTGATTGGTCCAGCGGATGCTGAGCTACACTCAGATAAATTTTTTAAAAAAATTCGAAAAATTAAATTTGCGAGATTATTGGTCGGGAATACCGCCAAAGTCTTAACCCGGGAGTCTCGAACAAAAAATGTATGGCGCACTTTTTGATTGGTCCAGCGGATGCTGAGCTACACTCAAAAACTTTTTGGAAAAATTTTCGAAAAATTAAATTTACAAGTTAAACGCTTCGGAATACCACCAAATTCATTAGAAGAAAGTTCTGAACAAAAAATGTATGGCGCACTTTTTGATTGGTCCAGCGGATGCTGAGCTACACTCACTAAAACTGGGAAAAAATTTTCGAAAAAAAAAATTTGCCAGATAATGACTCGGGAATAATGCCAAAAAATTGAGCAAAAAGTCTAAAACAAAAAATGTATGGGGCACTTTTTGATTGGTCCAGCGGATGCTGAGTTACACTCACTAAAACTGGGGAAAAATTTTCGAAAAAAAAAATTTGCCAGATAATGACTCGCGAATAATGCCAAAAAATTGAGCAAAAAGTCTCGAACAAAAAATGTATGGCGCACTATTTGATTGATACAGCGGATGCTGAGCTACAGTAAAAAACAAATTTGGAAAAAATTACAAAAAATTAAATTTGCGAGATTATCGGTCCGGAATACCGCCAAAGTCTTAACCCGGGAGTCTCGAACAAAAAATGTATGGCGCACTTTTTGATTGGTCCAGCGGATGCTGAGCTACACTATGATAAATTTTTTAAAAAATTACGAAAAATTAAATTTGCCGGATAATTGATCGGGAATACCGTCAAAGTCTTAACCCGGGAGTCTCGAACAAAAAATGTATGACACACTTTTTTAATGGTCCAGCGGATGCGGAGCTACAAACAGATAAATTTTTTAAAAAAATTCGAAAAATTAAATTTGCGAGATTATTGGTCGGGAATACCGCCAAAGTCTTAACCCGGGAGTCTCGAACAAAAAATGTATAGCGCACTTTTTGATTGGTCCAGCGGATGCTGAGCTACAATAGAAAACAAATTTGGGAAAAATTTAGAAAAATTAAATTTGCGAGATAATCGTTCCGGAATACCGCCAATAAAATAGGGAAAAAGTTTCGAACAAAAAATGTATGGCGCACTTTTTGATTGGTCCAGCGGATGCTGAGCTACACTCACTAAAACTGGGAAAAAATTTTCGAAAAAAAAAATTTGCCAGATAATGACTCGCGAATAATGCCAAAAAATTGAGCAAAAAGTCTCGAACAAAAAATGTATGGCGCACATTTTGATTGGTCCAGCGGATGCTGAGCTACACTCACTAAAACTGGGAAAAAATATTCGAAAAAAAAAATTTGCCAGATAATGACTCGCGAATAATGCCAAAAAATTGAGCAAAAAGTCTCGAACAAAAAATGTATGGCGCACTTTTTGATTGGTCCAGCGGATGCTGAGCTACACTGAAAAACATTTTTGAAAAATTTTCGCAAAATTAAATTTGCGAGTAAAACGCTTCGGAATACCACCAAAGTCATTAGAAGAAAGTTCTGAACAAAAAATGTATAGCGCACTTTTTGATTGGTCCAGCGGATGCTGAGCTACACTAGAAAACAAATTTGGGAAAAATTTAGAAAAATTAAATTTTCGAGATAATCGTTCGGGAATACCGCCAAAATCTTTAGCAAAAAGTAGCGAACAAAAAATGTATGGCGCACTTTTTGATTGGTCCAGCGGATGCTGAGCTACACTAGAAAACAAATTTGGGAAAAATTTAGAAAAATTAAATTTGCGAGATAATCGTTCGGGAATACCGCCAAAGTCTTTAGCAAAAAGTAGCGAACAAAAAATGTATGGCGCACTTTTTGATTGGTCCAGCGGATGCTGAGCTACACTAGAAAACAAATTTGGGAAAAATTTAGAAAAATTAAATTTGCGAGATAATCGTTCCGGAATACCGCCAATAAAATAGGGAAAAAGTTTCGAACAAAAAATGTATGGCGCACTTTTTGATTGGTCCAGCGGATGCTGAGCTACACTCAAATAAATTTCCGAAAAATTGTGGAAAAATTAAATTTGAGAGATAACTGCTCCGGAATACCATAAATAAAATAGTCAAAAAGTTCTGAACAAAAAATGTATAGCGCACTTTTAGATTGGTCCAGCGGATGCTGAGCTACACTCAAAAACATTTTGGAAAAATTTTCGAAAAATTAAATTTGCGAGTAAAACGCTTCGGAATACCACCAAAGTCATTAGAAGAAAGTTCTGAACAAAAAATGTATGGGACACTTTTTGATTGGTCCAGCGGATGCTGAGCTATACTAATAAATAAATTCGGAAAATTTTCGAAAAATTAAATTTGTCAGATAATGACTCGGGAATAATGCCATAAAATTGAGCAAAAAGTCTCGAACAAAAAATGTATGGCGCATTTTTTGATTGGTCCAGCGGATGCTGAGCTACACTCACTAAAACTGGGGAAAAATTTTCGAAAAAAAAAATTTGCCAGATAATGACTCGCGAATAATGCCAAAAAATTGAGCAAACAGTCTCGAACAAAAAATGTATGGCGCACTTTTTGATTGGTCCAGCGGATGCTGAGCTACACTAGAAAACCAATTTGGGAAAAATTTAGAAAAATTAAATTTGCGAGATAATCGTTCGGGAATACCGCCAAAGTCTTTAGCAAAAAGTAGCGAACAAAAAATGTATGGCGCACTTTTTGATTGGTCCAGCGGATGCTGAGCTACACTAGAAAACAAATTTGGGAAAAATTTAGAAAAATTTAATTTGCGAGATAATCGTTCCGGAATACCGCCAATAAAATAGGGAAAAAGTTTCGAACAAAAAATGTATGGCGCA